GGCGGGCCCGCGGCGATTGGGCGGTGAGCGGATCGGGCATCCGCGGGACCCGCCCCGACCCCGTCGCCCCAGCCCGCGGCTGAATTCGGGCGGTTCCTCCGCGCTCGCTGGTGCACCCGCCGCTCAAATGGAACCCTGAGGTGGCCCCGTTGGCGGGGCAGAGACCCGGGTGCCGCCCCACCCAGTGTTATGGTGGGAAAACCAAGGCCTGCACCTGGACCTTGGGAATCTATCTACGCCTGTTCTGGTTGGGGATGCGGTCATCCCTCACTTGGACACTGCGGCTAGCCTCCTCAGGGACCACTGACCTGTATTCAGGCCTGGCCCCTCCAATCTGTCCCCCGCAAGACATTATGTGCATAAGAAACAAATCTGGCCATGTGTCTCCCCTAATTAAAATACTAAAGAGTTTCTACATAATCTGGTCCCTGCTTGCAAACTCATTGCCACCACCATTCCCCAAATCGCCATCTAGCTCTTTCCAACTGAGGCATTTCGGATTTATGTATGTGCTGTTCCCTCTCTCCTGTTCATACACTCCATGCCTCACCTCCTTCTTCAAGGCTCAGATAAAAGGTTATTTCCTGAGGAAGGCCTTTCCTAGGGGGCTGCTCCAGCATTTCTGTGTGGAATTGGCTCAGGGGTTCAGTCTGGCCAGGAAGGAGTAAGAAGCTGCCACAGCACAGCACCAGGGCCCTGCTTTTGGTGCCATAAGCGAAAGGGAAACACACTTCCGTACATATTTTTAAAATTACATTAAATATTATTTATCTTGATAACTGCATTTTATGGCACCCCCTTAAATTTTGCCCCTAAGGCAAATGCCTCACTTTCCTCACCCCGGTCCTGGCCCTTATTATATAAGTTCTGATACATTATTCCCTTATGCTTGGAAAACCTTTGTCCACTGTTGCTCTGTTCTGCTTCTGCCTTTCTCGCCCCCCTCCGTGGTGCTCTCCTGAGCAATATTCCCCTTTAGTGATGCTCGTGTCATGTATAATTCAGTGTCAGATGGGAGAGGCACCAGAGAGAGCTGGCTTGATGCTTCCTTTAAAGGAGCCCTGCCCAACATGACTTGCTTCCCAGCAGAGGCAAGGAGACCTCAGACCTGGACAGAAAGAGGCTGGAAATGTACTAGCAGTGTGTGTGTGTGTGTGTGAGAGAGAGCGAGAGAGAGACAGAGACAGAGACAGAGACAGAGATGCAGGAAGAAGAAAGACCTTGCCCACAATAAGGGGACTGAGGTGAGACATCTATGACAAGGGGTCTCCAAAGGACCTATAAAATACCTGTAATTAGCTTAGTTTAGTTGTTGTTGTTTAATGCTGTCTTGACCCAGTTTTGAGGCCCCGGCTAGAAGCTGGTCAGTTCCCCCTTCTTGCGCAGCCCATTAAGTCCACACCCCCAACCACCTCCTTATCAGGCTCTCACACTTCAGGCCTAATCGCTCCAGGGTCAGGTACCAAACAACAAGAGACAGCTCCTTTGCCCTAGAGCCCGCTGAAACGATTCAAAGGAGCCAGTGCTAAACCTGCTTGTTCTGCCTTGCTCTTTCCTTCCTGCAGAAACCACAGTTCCCTCTCTCCCTCTGCCTTATAACGTACTCCAGGGTTTACGCCCTGCATGGCATGCTGTGTGTCCAGGGAACTTTGAGTGTAACAAAACTGTACAACTTTCTGGTTTCTCTCTCTTGATCTGTGTCTAACCTCACCATGCCTTACCCAAACTAACACGGTTAAAACAATACCCCACAAGAAAAAGCTGGGAATACCTACTAGGTAGATCAGGATAGCACTAAGAAAATAGGACCTTCCTGAGAACTCCCCTCCTCTCCATCCATGCCCTTTAGCTCCCTGGAGAGGTCAGAATATGCTGTTAGCAATCTTGGGGAGTGGAATATTATGGTTCAAAGACATCCTTTTGGTGGAAAAACAAGAGAATCTCTCCATATACTGTTTCTGTCCTGGAGCATGTCCCCTATTCCTATAAATGGAATTCTCCTATAAATGGAATTTTACTGTTACACACAACTGGACAGTTTAATTCATGAAATGAGACCATTCATAGGATTAAAATATCTGGAGGTCTCTCTGTTGTCTGAAGAAGACCAGAAAAGTAATGGGACAAACCCCATAATTCAGTCAAGGTTTGGGAAAAAATGTTCCACACAGCAAATTTCAACAGGCAGAGGAGGGGAAAGATTGCAGAGAGAAGAGAGTTGCATTTTTACTTCATTTTATCTCAGGGCAACTGTTACATATATTACATCTCTCCACCCTAGACCCCCTCCAGTTTGTCCTTGACCCTGGAAAACTTGAGGCCAGGGAATGGACACAGCCTTCTCAACAACAGAACTCTTACAGCCTTATCAGTTGTTTCACTTTATGTTCTTTTTCACATGAACTGCTGTTATGATGGATGCTTATTTTCTGTGTTTGCCCCCACACCCTTCCCCTTTCTTCTGAGAAGGCCTCTCCATTTTGTATTGGAGACTGATTCTTCCCACACTCCAGTCTTTAAAAATGTCATTTTCTCACGTGTCCTTACTACTTCGATTGGCTCATGGGTGATCACTGAACATAAACTGGGCCAAAGTTCCTCCCCAGGATTTTTAAAGTTGAAACAGGAAAAAGAGACTCCACTGTCATCCATGAAGCATTAACTGCTATGGGAATGGTCCTTATATTTTAAACAACTAGAAAACTAGAAAAAAATATACCAAGCAACTGTTGTGAGCATTGGACAACAGGCAGCCCAGGATTGTGACAGCTATGAAAAGGAAACTAACCTAGGTGAGCCCTGTAAATGGTTCCAGTTGTTTGCTGTTTCAGTGCAGTTTCCAGGTATTACTGCATGAGGGGGAACCCGAACAGAGCCCAGAAATCTCAGAGTTCAGAAGACAGAGATCAGTGTTCAGAAACGCTGGAGCAGCTAGAATTTGGGGAGCAGAGGACCAGAGAGGAGGGAGCTGCAGAAAGAGAGAGAGAGAGAAAGAGAGAGAGAGATCCAGGGATGTGCAGAGGGAGCCCCTCAAGTCTTTAGCTGAATATTGTTCAGAGCATGCATGGGTGAAATTGCAGGAGGCCAGGGGAAGAACCACCAAAAAGCAGTGTGCCAAATAATTCCTGGAGCTCACACAGAGCTGGGAATATTTTATCTTCACACAAGCCAAAATGGAGAGACCTCTTAATACATGAAACACTGGCTAGAGCTCTCAAGAGGGGCTAAGTATTAGGGGAAAATTAGCTCTAGACTAAAAACTGAGTTAGACTTTCCTTAACACAGCTTAAAAGCAAGAGCCAAAAAGATCAAATTTATCCTAAGTAACTTAACTGTGCTCCAGAAAAACAAATAAACAGTTCAACATTATTTAAAGAAAAATAGAAAAATCCAATACTCAGTATGGTAAAATGTATAATGTCCAACATGCAAACAAAAATTATCAGGCATGAAAAAGAACATGACTGGGGCACTTGGGTGTCTCAGTTGGTTAAGTGTCTGCCTTCGGCTCAGGTCATGATCTTGGGGTCCTGGGATCCAGCCCCCGTCCTGCTCCCTGCTCATCGGGGAGTCTGCTTCTCCCTCTCCCTCTGCCCTGCCCCCGACTTGTGCTCTCTCTCTCTCAAATAAATAAATAAAATCTTAAAGAAAAATGAAAAAATGAGAAAAAGAACGTGACTCATAAGCAGGAGAAAGAAAATTGATAGAAACAGACCAAGAAATGACAGAAATGATGGAATTAGCCAAGATCTTAAAATATATAATATTTGAACAGACATTTCACCAAAGAAAATACACAAATGACATTAAAAAAAAAAAGACATGAAAAGATGCTCAACATTATTAGGGAAATACAACTTGAAACCACAATGAGATACCACTACCCATCTACAACAATGGCTAAAATTAAAGACTGACCTTACTCAGTCATGATGAGGATGAGGAACAACTAAAACTCTCATACATTGCCAAGGGAATGTGAAATGGTTTTTCCAAAATGGTTTGGCAGTTTCTTTTAAAGTTAAACATATACTTTATATATGACTCAGAAATTCCACTTTTTATTCAGCCAAGAGTATTGCATACACATCTCCATACAAAGACTTGTTCATTGTAGCTTTATTTATAATTCACACTCATACTTAATTTTGCATGTATAGTTTTGAGGACCCAGCTCCCAAAAATTTCAGGCCTGAATATGCCCCTGCATGTTTTATTGTATTTAATTTGCATTCCCTACTGTGGACAGTGAGATTGAATTTTATCTGTTAGTCAGCTATTTATGTTTCTTCTTTTGAGAATTGCCTTTTCTTATTCCTTACCATTTTTCTATTGGAGTGCTTTTGCCATTTTCTTACCGGTTTCCAAAAGTTCTTTAATAAGGTTACCAACCTCTTGTGTGTCATGTAGGCTAGAATTTTCCCACTCTGCCAGTTGCCTTTTAAATCTATTGTATTTTTGACGAGCATAATTTTTAATATATATTCATTTATATTTTATGCTAATACAGCAATTAATTTTTATCTCTAATGCAGAAACTTGATATTTATCTTTGTTCTATTTTGTTTTTTTTATTTGGGGCAAGAGTTTCAGTCAAATCAAATTATTTTTAATCTGATTATCGGTATTATTAACTATTATTCCTAGTGTATCTATTAGATTGTTTTCAGCTGCAAGTAGAACACCCAACCAAACAATAGGAGTCCATTTTTCTCACATAACAAGAAGCATGGCAGAGGTTTGGGGTTTAACAGCTCAGGGACATCAGAG